CCAGGACTCCATAGGATGGGGCTAAGTGCTGTAGCTCCATTCTATGGAATCCTGGGATCTGTAGTTTTGCAAAGTCTTTGGGCATCTCTGTCAAAGAAAGCTGGTGCCTCACCAAACTACAGATCCCAGGATTCTGTAGGATAGCGCCATGGCAGTCAAAGTGGTGTCAGACTTCATTACTTCTATAGTGTAGATGCATCCTACGACTCTGGAACTCAGAGTTGGATTCCCTGCTTGGCCATGAGAGTCCACCTGATGACCTTGGGCAAGTCACACAATCTCAGCCCCAAGAAATGCCATGCCTTAGGTTCATCATAAGTTGGAAGTGACTTGAAGGCACACAATAACAAATCAATCATCTATCTATCTATCTATCTATCTATCTATCTATCTATCTATCTATCTATCTATCTATCTATCTATCTATCTATCTATCTATCTATCTATCTATCTATCTAATATAGTGGGCCCATTGTATCCACTGAAGTTTGGTTCTATGATTCCCCGTGAATACCAAAATTTGTGGATGCTCAAGTGGAATTGCACCTAAAATAACATTGTGCATTGTGGCTATGCACTACGCATGGCACATTGTGGATGTGCATTGTGCATTTCCCAACAGCAGCAAACCACTGACCTATGTTGTGCAATGTTTTTGCATGCAGCGTATCTCTGCATGTCGGGGGGGGGGGGAATATTGGATTGCATCCAGTAATTGTTAGAACAATACAGGTGTGTACATGTATGTGTGAATGTGAAGGACTGAGATGCTATGAGGCTTTAAACATGTTGTGGCTTCAGCCATCAGCTGTCTGGATCCATTCCTAGTCAAAATGCATTTCTGTTCAAGTTTAAACAATGGTTGTTGACTGTCATACCTGTGTCATCATGCAAAGAAGCTTGTTATAAATGGCAAATTCTTCTTGGATGCTCTTAGCATCATGTTCCATGGTGCATCTTTGAACCCCGAACGTTTACTATAGGGTGATGCAAACCCTTGATAAACAAAGATATATTTGGACACGAGGGATAATGCAATTGCTTGCAAGTTATTAACTGGTTGCATTTATTTTCTTCTTATTTTTACAATGCAGCCCTTTTGAGACAGAATGTTCTTGGCTCCTCCCCAAGTTTCCCATCAAATTACCAGCGAAAAGAGGCCCCTGGATTGGGTGAGATTCAGTTATTATCAGAGGCCTAAATTGGGTGAAACGCAACCCGGTTAATTAAAATGGAGCGGACGGGACCCTAAAGTGAGGGTACATGATAGCGTGTTTTCCCGTTCGGCACCAGCATATTAATTTCCATTAAGATTTATAAGGCTCAACCCTCCTGTCCTAACCGTTGGAGAGAAGCCGTGTTTCGTTTTTGCATTCGGTAGGATATTAATGGCTTTATTTCTCAAGTAAAGAACTGAGACTAAATTATAGGCAGAAACTCTTTCCAAATCAGGTCTCGATGGTCTTAGGTATTGATTAAGTCAATAGTCATAGGTAACAACCAGCCCCCCCCCCCAAAATACTCATCTTTTAGGAAATTGCAATAGCAGAGAGTGTGAGTCATGCAAGGACTGCAACTCCTATCATTCTCCAGCATGCACCTTGCTGCCCAGGGCTGCTGGGAGTTGTAGTCCAAGAACATCAGAGATGCACCCTTTGTAGGTTCACTTGCAGAGGCTCCAAAGTATTACCTTGCAAGCTTTGTTAAACATTCACGTTTTGACCTAGCACCAACTCAGAAGTAGGATACATCATTTCCTGCAATTAATCCACGGAAGAAAGAAAGGATGCTCACTCACCTGGTCTCTTTTTTATTTCTTTCTCTTGGCCTGCAATGAACGCTCGCTCTTCTCCCTCATTCACCCACAGCCTTAAATGCTGGGCAATTAAGAAGTGGATTGCTGCGTTTGTTCAGATGCCATGATATTGTGGAATATTCTGTATGCGAAATGCACGTTCCAACCATTATCTTAGGCAGTAATTTTAGCTGAATTGGATCGGAGTGAGGAACGCTTTGACACATTGTTAAGGTTAATGACCCACTCATTAACAATGCACATTTGTCGTGGAATGGATTAGAATAATGATTCCATTGGAGAAATGAGGACGATTTATCCATTGTCTCATAATAACCGCGCTTATTGTTGGATTCCAAGTGCTGCTTGGTTTTTATTTTATATGATGCCTGTCCTTAGTTACCAGAGGAATTTAGAAGAGTTCTGTCTTACTCATCTTTTCTCATTTTCCCACACTTTGTGTCTCGTGTTTACCTTGTTAGCAATTAATCGCGCTGGGATAGGGACCACGGATGAGCTCACCAAAAATGTTAAATGCATAAGATCAGGAGTGGATTCAGGGTTTTTTTTGGGGGGGGGGCTTTGTGGCCATGTTCTGGAAGAGATTATTCCTGATGTTTCACCTGCATCTGTGGCTGGCATCTTCAGAGAAAGTTACTGATGACTGGCTTTGAGCAATCCATTGTGTATAAGTGGTGTATATCATTATTGCTGGTCCTGTTTACCAGAGAGAGACCTCCTCCTCCTTTTTTTGGTATCGATCTTTATTAAATTACACACATACCCTTGTCTCTATTCTGCCCTGGAACCAGCTGTGTTTCTAGATCTCTCCAAGACTTCTGCGAAGGCCTC